CTGCCACTAAACATGTCAACGGCTAAGCCGTAGTCCTGATAGTTTTCACAATATAATCATTTGTTTGCAACTAACGCCGTCCATTGACTTTCATTGAGACTTCACTCTGCAAAGCTCAAATTTGAAGTGCAATTTCTAAACTGCGACTGTGCCTTCAATTTTAATACTTCAGAGACATACTATGTATCAAAATGTAGGTCTGGGTCTTGTGATTCTCACAATATAAAGCTCCTCACTGTAGGATTTATAGTTTTTAAAATATGACCGTTTGAAGATGGCAACCGCCAAAATACTCTGACCTGTGTCAAGCTGCAGCAGCAAGTGATGTCATAGACAGGGACTTTTGAACACCTGCTAATGTTTTTATAAATGTATGGTTTAATGTAACTGTGCAACAACGTTGCAATTAAATGTGCTATGTAAATGATAACAGTTACTCCGCCCACTCCAGTTGTAGACTACAGGTGGAGGCAAGAACACTTCACGCACATTTCCCAGAAATTATGTAACTTTCTAGTTATTATTATTGTATAGCAAAATTTGCCCACCTAACTCCTCCCACAGTTTTTACACTACATAGACAAAATTTACCAAGCGTGCAGATTGTTCCCGATGGGATTACTTCGTACTTTGTGGAACGTTTCGCTGAATGGTTCACGGAATATCGTCGTTTTTGTGGCGCAATTTGTCCCATAGGAATGAATGGCAAAGCTAGAGTGGGAGCTGGCAAAAGCTGAAAAATCAGGACGTGATTTCTAAACTGCCACCACTCCCTCATTTCCAAGCCCACCTACACAAATCTTATATCAAAACGTTCAGCTATCCCTCTTGCCACTAAACATGTCAACGGCTTAGCCATAGTCCTGATAGTTTTCACAATATAATCATTTGTTTGCAACTAACGCCGTCCATTGACTTTCATTGAAACTTCACTCTGCAAAGCTCAAATTTGAAGTGCAATTTCTAAACTGCGACTGTGCCTTCATTTTTAATACTTCAGAGACATACTATGCATCAAAATGTAGGTCTGGGTCTTGTGATTCTCACAATATAAAACTCTTCGCTGTAGGAGTTATAGTTTTTAAGATACGACCGTTTGAAGATGGCAACCACCAAAATACTCAGACCTGTGTCAAGCTGCAGCAGCAAGTGATGTCATAGACAGGGCCTTTTGAACACCTGCTAATGTTTTTATAAATGTATGGTTTAATGTAACTGTGCAACAACATTGCAATTAAATGTGCTATGTAAATTATAACAGTTACTCCGCCCACTCCAGTTGTAGACTACATGTGGAGGCAAGAACACTTCACACAATTTCCCCTGAAATTGTAACTTTTCTAGTTAAGTGTTCTTGCATAGCAAGACCACTTAATGTTATCTCACATATATATTATTATTATTATTCTTATTATAGCCAAATTTGCCACCCTAACTCCTCCCACAGTTTTTACACTACATAGACAAAATTTACCAAAACGTGCAGATTGTTCCCGATCGGATTGCTATTACTTTGTGGAACGTTTCGCCGAATGGTTCACGGAATATCGTCGTTTTTGTGGCGCAATTTGTCCCATAGGAATGAATGGCAAAGCTAGAGTGGGAGCTGGCAAAAGCTGAAAAATCAGGACATGATTTCTAAACTGCCGTCACTCCCTTATTTTCAGGCCCACCTACACAAATCTTATAACAAAACGTTCAGCTATCCCTGCTGCAACTAAAAATGTCAACGGCTAAGCCATAGTCCTAATAGATTTCACAATATGACCATTTGTTTGCAACCAACGTCGTCCATTGACATTCATTGAAACTTCACTCTTCAAAGCTCACATTTGAAGTGCAATTTCTAAACTGCAACTGTGCCTTCAATTTTAATACTTCAGAGACATACTATGCATCAAAATGTAGGTCTGGGTCTTGTGATTCTCACAATATAAAGCTCTTCACTGTAGGAGTTATAGTTTTTAAGATACGACCGTTTGAAGATGGCAACCGCCAAAATACTCTGACCTGTATCAAGCTGCAGCAGCAAGTGATGTCATAGACAGGGCCTTTTGAACACCTGCTAATGGTTTTATAAATGTATGGTTTAATGTAACTGTGCAACAACGTTGCAATTAAATGTGCTATGTAAATGATAACAGTTACTCCGCCCACTCCAGTTGTAGACTACAGGTGGAGGCAAGAACACTTCACACAATTTCCCCAGAAATTGTAACTTTTCTAATTATTATTATTATTCTTATTCTTATTATAACCAAATTTACCACCCTAAATCCTCCCACAGTTTTTACACTACATAGACAGTAAATATGCCGAAGCGTGCAGATTGTTCCCGATCGGATTGCTATTACTTTGTGGAACGTTTCGCCGAATGGTTCACGGAATATCATCGTTCTTGTGGCAAAATTTGTCCCATAGGAATGAATGGCAAAGCTAGAGTGGGAGCTGGCAAAAGCTGAAAAATCAGGACATGATTTCTAAACTGCCACCACTCCTTATTTTCAGGCCCACCTACACAAATCTTATATCAAAACGTTCAGCTATCCCTGCTGCCACTAAACATGTCAACGGCTAAGCCATAGTCCTGATAGTTTTCACAATATAATCATTTGTTTGCAACTAACGCCCTCCATTGACTTTCATTGAAACTTCACTCTGCAAAGCTCAAATTTGAAGTGCAATTTCTAAACTGCGACTGTGCCTTCATTTTTAATACTTCAGAGACATACTATGCATCAAAATGTAGGTCTGGGTCGTGTGATTCTCACAATATAAAGCTCTTCACTGTAGGAGTTATAGTTTTTAAGATACGACCGTTTGAAGATGGCAACCGCCAAAATACTCTGACCTGTGTCAAGCTGCAGCAGCAAGTGATGTCATAGACAGGGCCTTTTGAACACCTGCTAATGTTTTTTATAAATGTATGGTTTAATGTAACTGTGCAACAACGTTGCAATTAAATATGCTATGTAAATGATAACAGTTACTCACGCCCCTCCAGTTTGACTACAGGTGGAGGCAAAGAACACTTTCACACAATTTCCCCAGAAATTGCGCTTTTCAGATTATTATTATTATTATTATAGCAAAGGTGCCACCCTAACTCCTCCCACAGTTTTTACACTACATAGACCAAAATTTACCAAAGCGTTAAGATTGTTCCCGATCGGATTGCTATTACTTTGTGGAACGTTTTGCCGAATGGTTCATGGAATATCGTCGTTCTTGTGGCGAGATTTGTCCCATAGGAATGAATGGCAAAGCTAGAGTGGGAGCTGGCAAAAGCTGAAAAATCAGGACAAGATTTCTAAACTGCCACCACTCCCTTATTTTCAGGCCCACCTACACAAATCTTATATCAAAACGTTCAGCTATCCCTCCTGCCACTAAACATGTCAACGGCTAAGCCATAGTCCTGATAGTTTTCACAGTATAATCATTTGTTTGCA